TCTTTCTTTCTTTCTTTCTCTCTCTCTCTCTCTCTCTCTTTCTCTCTCTCTCTCTTTCTCTCTTTCTCTCTTTCTCTCTTTCTCTCTCTCCCTTCCTTCCTTCCTTCCTTCCTTCCTTCCTTCCTTCCTTCCTTCCTTCCTTCCTTCCTTCCTTCCTTCCTTCCTTCCTTCCTTCCTTCCTTCCTGTTTTTGTTTTTTTGTTTGATTGTTTTAATATATATATATATATATAAAGACTTCTTTTTACCAATGTATTTTTAGGCAAATACTTATTTAGCTGCATTGGGAAAATGACAGAAAGTCACTCTGTAAGATGTTCTGTTGCTAAGCAGGTGAATACTCAGCGATTAGGGATGTGAATTTGTGCTTCTCTCTGCTCTTTGCACGCATCTTTGTGTGCAGAGATCTTTTAATGCTGTGACCGCACAAATGGAGTATTTTCCCTGGCTGCAAACACCTTGCAGGAGGAGTATGTCCTAACTGTATTCTGTCCAGAAACACTGCTGTTGCTACACACACCTTAACAAAACCTCAGTCTCCTAACTGCAAACATTTACTTACATGGTGGTATGAATGAAAGTCGACCTTATACACTTAACATGTAATTATTAGTAAGGATGAATGTGTCAGATATCTTTGAAAGAGGAAATTATGTAGGAAGAGATTATGTACAAGCATTTACTGAATTTATATATCATCCCATTTGCTTAACTACTGTAGGTAATAGTGTTCACATATCAGCTTACTGTGAGATTTCTACCTGATTAAGGTGTTCAGAAGTGAAAAGAAGGAAAATAAAACGTTCCTGAAAAAAAAAATGAGGAATAATAAAAAACAATGGATTAGTAAAATATAATAAGAAACCAATATCCTGACTGAACTCTAATCTAACTATCAGTTTAATGTACAGCTACTATATTTTTTTTTTCTGAAATAAGATTTTCTCTTTTCTTTTACTACCATGTAGTAATCTTAAACTATCTGTGTCAGTTAGATGCTCTGGAATGCTCCCAGTTCAATGTAAAACTTCTACTTTGTAGTTGACATACTGTAACCTCCCTTGTACATATTTATTTATTTGTGAGGTTAAAAATGTCAAATATACTTAGCTCTGTTACATCTGTTATTGTTTAGCTTCTGCTTCACCATAGAGAAAGAGTGAAATAATAATTTCTTTTATTTTTTTCCAAACATTTTGTGAAAAAATTACTGTAGTTCTGTATGAGGAAACATCAACATAATTTGTAATACTAGTCAGTGGAATATAATGCAACAGTTTTGAAGATGGACTAAAGTGGAAAGAAACATTTTCAAGTAAACATTCTTGATGTTAGTGTACCAAATAATTAAAGTTTTCTTTTAGTAATGAATGATTGAATTTTTTTCTTTTTTCTTTCTTTTTTTCTTTTTTTTTAATGTTTAATGGCAAAAATTACTCAGTGGAATTCTGAAAAATAATCTTGTATTTATTAAACATGTGAGATAGATGCATGTCTAGCCAAAATGTTGGAAATAAATATGCAAGAATAACTCCATTTTAGAAGAGGAATGCATTCTGCAGAATATACTTCTCCTTTTTGTTAATAAGTAGATGCCAGATCCAGTGAGTGATCAGAAAGTTTGGTGAGTTCATTTACTTATGGTAGAACTTGTGTCATAGCAAGAAAGGAATATCAAGGCAAGAGAAAATAGGCTGTGAGAAGTAATACAAATGAATAATTGAAAACTAGAAGTTCTTTCTATTCATATGCTTCTTTCCAGATGAATTTAGTCCTTCATTATGAATAATGTGATTTAATCTGTAATCACATTTTGACTAATTGCTGTTATAATGCTATAGTCAGCTGATCAATTAAATATGCACACTAATATATAAACATTAAATGCAACTCTCTAATGTCCTACCTTTAAATATTTACACCTAAAGAACATGGAAACTCAGTGAAACATGTCAGAACTGCTCCCCTGTTATTCTCCTTGTACTTAAACCTTGCCCCAGAAATGCACAGTATTTGAAGTTTCAATAATAGTCTTTATAGGAGGCAATGAAAGCAAAACACATACTATTAATATGGATGCATGGTGTGCCCATGGGCAGCATATCCATGCATGTTTGTGGACAGTGAACACTGCCTTGGGCTCTCTGTGATTTGAATGGTGTGGGAGGGCCCTCTGAGAGAAGAAGTCCAGGTTTTTTCAAGTGGGATTTTGGCAGATACAAAACTTGTAAAAGTGGTTTGCAGCATTTGAGGGTGGATTTATTTTTTTCCTCATTTCATCACTTTTTAAGTATCAAGAACAATTTTATTTTGGTCCTCTACTGTTAACATCTTCCTACTGTAACCCATTGAGTTACGTAAAATGCCACTTCATTTTGTTCCTTTTGAGAGGCTGATCTATATTCAGACATATCTATGTAACCACAAGGATAGCTACCGACTTACAGGACATCAGTGTCATTCATGGAGGTGTTACAAAGATTTGTTTCACATTTTTTGTATATGAAGATGTATCACCATACATGGGTCAGAAAATGAGGCAAAGGTCTTAGAAGGTCAGGTAAATCAGTCATGCAAACCAGTCTGTGGAGCACTGCTGTGCTGAAGAAGCTTTTCCCTCTCCTTAGCCAATCTTTGTCTACTTGTTCCAAATAATTTGGAATGCTCCTGGCCCATCCTTGGCACTCTCATCCTCAGGACATACATTTGCTGCAGTGCAAGAAAAGGAAAAAAAAAAAAAAGTTAAGGAAAATGAAATCAAGGAAAAGGAAAAATGGGAATGTGAAAGGAAAAGGAAAAGGAAAAGGAAAAGGAAAAGGAAAAGGAAAAGG